GGGCGCTGTCTCTGTGTGCTCCCTCCCCATGGTGTCCCTGCCCCACAGCTCCCCCCCCCCCCCCCCCCGGGGCCCCACTCACCCGCATGGCCTCGGCTTCGGCCTCTGCCTGAGTCATCAGCTGCAGCCTGAGGGGGAGGGGCGGCTCAGGGGGCGTGGCCAAGGGGGTGGGGACAAGGAAGGGGGCGGGGCTTGGGGGTGTGAAGGTGCAGAGGAAGAAGGAGCGCGGCTTCCTGAGGGGGCGGAGCTTCGAGGGGGGTTTCAGGAGAGGTGTGGCCATAGGGGGTGGGGCTTCAAATGGGCGTGGCTACCAAAAGGGGGCGTGGCTTCCACGTGGGTGTGACAAGGTGGGCGGGGCCACGACCTAATTGAGCGAATCACCGGAATTGGGCGTGGCTTCAACGAAGGGCCAGGGCCTGGGGTGAGTGGGCGTGGCTAGTAGTTAGGGGCGTGGCTTGCTGGTGGGCATGGCTCATGGCCAGTGGGCGTGGCTTACACGTTATGGGCGTGGCTTAAAGGTTGCAGAGGTGGCTTCCAGGTAGGGGGCGTGGCTTGAAGGTTATGGCAAGGCAAAGCAGGCATATTTATGCAAATGTAGCACAACTATGAATCTGGGTGCGATTATGTAAAGAGGGTGTGGTTATGCAAATGGCCATGTGCCTATACAGAAACGTGGGGCTTTTGCTGACTGGGTGTGGCTATGCAAATGAAGCTGTGGATATGTAAAAGAATTGGCACCGCTAAGGGGGTGGGGCTATGCAAATCAGCAGGGCCTCACAGAGCCGTGGTTGGCCGCCATGCTTCCAGGAAAGGGGCGGGGCTTCATTGAGTGTGTCCAAAATGGGCGTGGCAATGGGGTTGGGCTATGAGGGGCGTGGCTTATGTCAGTCATCAGGTTACGGGTGGGGCTTCTTGGGGGTGTGACCAATCACGGGGCAGGGCTTATAGCAGTGGGCCGGGCTTACATGTTATGGGCGTGGCTTAAAAGTTGCAGAGTGGCTTCCAGGTAGGGGGCGTGGCTTGAAGGTGATGGGCGTGGCTTACAGATAGGGGCAGCTTGCCTTTGGTGGGTGTGGACTGCAGGCAGTGGGCGTGGCTGGTGGCTGGTGGGCGTGGCTTGCAGGCAGTGGGCGTGGCTTGCAGATAGGGGTGGATTGCCTTTGGTGGGCGTGGCTGGCAGGCGGTGGGTGTGACTGGGAGGTGGTGGGCGTGGCTGGCAGGCAGTGGGCATGACTGGGGGCGGTGGGCGTGGCTTATACAGGCAATGGGCGTGGCTTGCAGGCAATGGGCGTGGCTTGCAGGCAGTGAGCGTGGCTTGCAGGTGGTGGGCGTGGCTTGCAGGCGGTGAGCGTGGCTTGCAGGCGGTGGGCGTGGCTTGCAGGCGGTGGGCGTGGCTTGCAGGCGGTGGGCGTGGCTTACCTCTCGGCCTCGGCCAGGCGCTCGATGCGGAAGCGCTCGGCCTCGGCGGGTTTCCTGACGGTGGCCTCCAGCTCCCTCTCGCGCCTCCCGATCTCGTGCTCCTGCAGCTGCGCCTGCTGCGCCCGCTCCACCACCAGCACCTGCGCCCGCTGCTCCTCGATCTGCTGCTTCGTCTTGGCCACCTGCGGCCCCCAAAGCGCTGCGGTTGTGGGGCGGCGCGGCGGCGGCTCGGGGGGGGG